GGAGGGGCTGCTGCTGCAGGCTCAGGCCAGGGCTGTACCGGGCTCTTCCTGGCATATGGAGACTGTGCTCGGGGCTGTGGGACTGCGCTCCTGACACATGGTGACTATGCTCAGGGTGGGCGGCAGTGGTGCTGCGAGGGGCCTACAGGGGGTGCTATGGCAAAACTTGTGGTGGCTGCAGCTCCCCTGCCCTGTAACTGCCCTCCTAGCTCCAGCCCTGCTCCGCCCTGAGCACAGCCCCTCCGTGCAGATCTGGGGGCACATGTCCCCGCCCTGCCCATGCCCTCCCACAGTGTGTGCAGCGGTGGGAGACCCCCCTGCACGAGCCACAGTTCTGTCCCGTGTGCTGCCTGCCCAAGCCCCTGTGCCACTCCTTTCCTCACTGCGGGGGGTGTCGATCTGCCCCCCATATCCCTTCCCTTCCCCCTCCCCATTCACCACAACAGACTTACCAGCGGCATGGATCAGTATCGGCCAATCTGCCTCCTTAAAAATTGGCTATCAGTATTGACCCCCAAAATCTCTATCCATGCACCCTACCCTTTAGGTCACTGAGAGAGAATCCAAAGTCCCAGTATAGTCCAGACATTTGATGCCTCTATGGCTGTAGCTGTATAAGCATCTGGGAATCAACCCTGCGCATCCAGCGTGGCAGACAAGGACTCTACCACTGAACAACAGGAAGTCTCTGATCTAGTGAGTCCATAAGGGCCCTGCTATACCCTCAAATGAAAAGTGGGTAAAAACCAGCTCTGGAGCCATTATGCATTTCCAAGCACCAGCTTTTGGCCGGTTGGCTCTTTGCATAACTCAACAGTAATTTTTAAAGTATGATAATAACCAGTTCATTGTATAATGGAGGTAATGTGCCACAGGGGGCCTAAGAGGTACCTCTACCCTGCCTTCCACCTGCTCTGTGAGAGGCGATACCTTTATTAGACCAACTAGGTATTTGCAAAAAAAAATTCTTTATCATTCTTTATTATTTAGGCAGTTTGCAAATAACTGGCTGGTTTGGGTAGAGGTGATATCTTTTATTAGACCCACCAGAAATTTGCAAAATATGTAAGCAATAAAGGATAATAAAGCCTTTTTTTTGTTGTTGTTTGCAAATATTTGGTGGGTCTAATAAAAGATATCACTGCTACCCAGAGCCGATTCCTTTTTGCCTGTAGACCAACCTGGCTACCCTCTGCATGGGCGACTGGTGCCATCTTAGTCAGGGGGGCACATGCCCCCCCAGCAACCAGTCAGCAATGGGGGCTGGGGTCCCTCTGCAGCCAATCTCACCGGCGGTGCTCCTGCCTACCCCCTCCCCCCATCTGTCAGAGGGGTTCATTTTCATTTTTTTGGGCCTGGCCTGGTTCATCTGTTGCCACCCACCACATGCGCTGTACAGGATGGCACGTGCTGCGCTGCATGTTACCACAGTTACTCAAATCCAAGACGAGGTTTTTCTCTCCTCCATGGCGGGGAGGAAGGCTTCTCGTCTTGGATTGTCGAGGGGGCAGGAGGCTGCTGTGGCGCGGCCCGGCCCCGTGCCTGGAGTTGGAGCTGCCGCCTCCCCCCTTGTCGCCTGCCCCAGCACCCTCCCCTGCTCCCCTCGCCCGGGGAGGGGAGCGTCGTTACCTGCTTCAGGCCCAGGTTGACGCCGTCGTGCTCGGCCGCCGCCTGCGCCATGTCGGAGGGGGCGGAGCCTCCGCTTCGCTCCTCCCCTCCGCGGGGAGGGCGGGGCCTGACCGGGCCGGGGTCCTGCAGGCGCGGCGCGGGCAGCCCGGCGCGGGGAAGATGGCCGCGTCTTGGTGGGCGCCCCGAGGGCGCGCGCTGCGCCGCTTCCTCCTGGGCCCGCGCCCGGGACTACCCCCGTCTGCCCGGCCCTTGCCCCTGCCCGGCTGGAGGCTGCTGCGCGGGGTTGCGGCGCTGCGCGGTGAGTGCGGGCCGCCGGGGACGGGGACGGGGACTGGGAGCGGGCCTGTGGGCAGCCGGCTTGGGGCGGGGGCAGCCCCCGATCCCTTACTAGCAGCCTAGAGCTCCCTCGTTAGAGCCTGCAGCCTCCTCGGTTAGCCGGGGTCCCGCATGTATAGGTTCAGAAAAGAGGACACGGCGGGGAGGATATGCCCGTGCCGCACCCCCGGCCCTGCTGCAGCCTCTCACTCCCGACCCGCATCCCCCTGCCCCCCCTCCCCGCCCCTCACTCTCAGCCCGCAGCCCCCTCGTACTGCCTGGTCCCTGCACTCCTGACCCACAGTCCCCTTCCCCCCCTCCCCTGGTGCTCCTCCCTCCTGACCTGCAGCCCCCTGCCCCCCCAGCCCTCCTGGTGCCCCTGCAGCCAGCCTCTTGCCTGCAGGAACCCACAGCCCCATGCCTGCCCAGCTCTGCTGGTACCCCTTGCTCCCGACCTGCAGCTGCTTGCCTACCATTCCCTACCTTGCTGGTGCCCCTCACTCCCCACCCACAGCCCCGTGGGCACTGTCTGGTGTGCTCTGTTCAGTGTCCCCCTCTTAGCACTCTTGCCTTGAACCTTTGTCTTCCATTCTTGTCCCTGTTTTCATTATTATTTGTCCAAAGAAATCTGTAACGCATCACTAGTGGCCCTCCAGTACTAAAAGGGCTTATAGCTTCCATGGCAGGCCTGGCCCATAACTTCCCCATATGCGTTAAAACAGTCCTTTAAGCCCTGTAGATGCTTCAAGGCTAGACAGGTGAACAGTGACTGGTGAGAGTGCCTAGTCTCGGGCACCTGGGATATAAGAAGCATGGGTCACAGGGCTTACAGATGAGCTGGGCCACCTTCATGGTGAGTGGTACTGACCTTGCTCATTTGCTTCAGCAGCAAAGCCCCAGCATGAGGGCACTGTCACTATGGAGGAGCAGTGACTGCAATATATTGATCCTTAGGAAAAATGACCTTTAGTACAGAGCAGTGGTTCTCAATCTATTGCCAGTGGCGTTGTGTAGGGGATATACAAGGGTGCACGTGCGCCCCCTGAGATGCCCTGACTGGTCATGCTCCCCACTTAGGCAATGGGTACGGGGAGCAGGTGGGAGCACCGGTGGCCCCCCCTGAAAGCACCAGCCATGGAGTGCGAGCGCCGGATATAGGCTGCGGCTGCTTCTGGAAGCGCCGCGGCCGCTTTTGGGAGCAACGTGACCACTCACCAGTCAGTAATCTGTGCCCCCCCCTTGGTTGCTGATAGGGTCCATGCCACCCCTGATAACGGTGGCACCAGTTGCCTATGCTTGTCACCATAATGGGCCAAACTTGCTGCTCTCAATGTGTTATGTGGGCCACACCCACACAATTTACTTCCTGTGTATCCATTTAACAGGATGTCACATGGGCTTCAGCAGTGTGCTGACTGGGCCGTGTGTGGCCTGTGGGTCGGAGGTTGAGGACCACTGGTACAGAGGTTGCTTTATACATGTATATATAAATACTATTTTTGGGTCTTTTGCTTGGTTATTTAATTCTCTTTAGGATTTTGGAAGTTCAAGGACTTCATCTGTAGTTATCTACTTGCATACAGGAGAAAAAAATAGCTCTTTCCTAAAATTGAACCTATAATTGGAACAATATACGAACACTTTGAGTTGCTTCAGATATTTTGATTACAGTGTTTTTTTTTCAACTGAATTTTTCTCTTTTAAGGCTGAAAATATGAAACGTTGTTTCCCCCCCCCCCCCCATTTTTATTCAATTGTTTCCATATTTAATCTCTTCTTTGGTAAACTAAAAACTGATGGGGGGCGGGGCAGTAAGGTCCATTAGTCATGGTCAAAACCTGCAGATGCGGGGAGGGCTGGAAGGGGGTATGAGGCGCTAGAAATTAAAAAATAAAAATACAGCCTCTAAAACTAGAAATAAAAAAATAAGACTACGAAGAAATAAAATTCAATAACTATTTCAATATAAATACAATGATCACTTTGTAAAACTCCGTGAAATTAGGAGTGTCAAACATATAGCTTGGAGCCTGAATCCAGCCCGCTGCACTGATCAGTCCAGTTTGTGGTGTTTCTGGTGGGACAGGGAATTTAGGTCTGGGGCCTGGTGAGGCCTGCTGCAGAATCTGGGGCTCCATTGGGTATGGCTGATGGTGGCAGGGGGACAAGTGAAGACTGTGCCGACAGCTTGATTGGCTCATGACTTCATGCACTGCCTATGTTGTGGCAAGTAGTTGCCTGCCCTGCCACTGCCTCTGCTTCTTGCCCTGCTGATCCAGCCTATGAGGAGCCCTGTGATCTGGATCCAACCTGGGGCACAGGGTGAGTTTGACACCCTTACAAGGAGCGAGGTGATTAGTGTTGGCCATAATAAATTTAGAGCAAGGGAACAAGAGATTAGAGGTTATTTAGAGGTGTTAATATTGTTTTCAGGTCAGCAGGGGCAGACCAGATTCATCTTGGAGTACTCTAGATTATAAATTGGCTGAGGTAGTTGCAGAGGCATTGGATATTATCCATGAGAATTCATGGAGGTCAGGTGAGGTCCCAGATGAGCAAAAAAAACAAATAGAAAGCCCATCTTTCAAAAGAAAGAGGATCCGGGGAATTACAGAGCACTTGATCTGCCCTGGATACCTGGAAAGATTATGAAATGTTATCAAGGAATCTGTATCTAAGCACCAAGGGTATCAGGAACAGCCAGCATGGATTTGTCAAGAGCAAATTCCTGACCAAACTGACTTTCTTTTGCAATAAGGTGTAATAGGCTTTGTGCATGGAGGGGAGGAGGAGGGGCAACATGTTTGAGATACCACATTTTCTTTTGTATAACACACCCCAGAATATAGCATCAACTTTATTCTTGAATGGCAGAATGGAAAAAAATAATGTTTTTGAGATTAAGGCCCCTACGGTGAAGGGGGGAGTGAGGCTGGCGCTGCCCAGCCAGGATGGGGCAGGGCATGGGATGGAGCCATGGCTCATCTGGGGGGTGGGAAGTGGGGTGGCTTCTGCTGTTGCACGTACCCTGGGAGGGCATGTGTGGTGTGCGCCTCCCAGATGTGCACGTGGCATGAAGATGGGCTACCGTTGCGGGCTGGAGCCGGTGCCGGGTTCTTCCCAGCGGGAGGGCTGGGTCGGGGCTGCGCTTGGGGTGGGTGGTGGTGGTGCTGGGATGGGGGCTACGGTGAACCGCCTGCCCTGATCGCAGGCCCAGCCCAGCCCCACTGCCGGGAAGAACTTGGTACAGTGCCAGCCTCAGCCCACCCTTGCCCTGTGCACAGATCTGGGGGCACGCAACCCCCATGTCCTCCCGGTGTGTGCGTAGCAGTGGGAGCCACTTCTCCACGCCACTATCCCCTGGATGAGCTGCTTGCAGCTCTGTCCTGCGCCCTGCCCCAGCTAGGGGCCTCAATCTGATCCCCCCCTCCCGCCCCTTCCCCCACAACAGACTTGCCAGCTAAATGCTGCTAGGCTGCACTCCTGGCCATCCATGTGCTGCAGTGTGGCTGCCCTCATATACGGGGCATTTATTAGTGATATTATCAGCCACATCAGCCAAAAAAAAGTCGATTGCCAATAATGTCAGTTTTCTTTATGTTGGTGCCGATACGATATGGGACCGATGTATTGGTGAACCTCTACTTTTTAGCTTCATCTGATGAAACAAAAAGATTTTTAGCTCTGGTAATTTGTCATTTTTCACTCATTTTGATCAGTGCTGACCCATTAGTCAAAGTGAAAAAAGTAGCTACCCCTTCTAAACATTTGGGCCTGGAAAAATCTGTTGTCATTCACAGGCCTTTAACTCATGCAGAAATTGGAGTTGTAAGAAAACAAGGCCTAACGTATTAAACCATGGAGGTTAAGTGTTCATTTTATAGACTAGATCAGTGGTTCCCAATCTGTGGTATGGGGACCACCAGTGGTACACAGGCAACCTGTCAGTGGTACGCATTAACAGATTTATTATAATTACTTTATATGACAAAAATTTGCTGATGGTACTTAAGTTTGTATAGTGTTAAATTGGTGGTGCACAGTCTGTCAGAGTTTGGGAACTGCTGGACTAGATTAAAAAGATTATATGAAGCACCCAGCAGTCTTTTCTTAATAAAAACCATGATCCTTCTCTCATTTAAGGTCAGTGGTAGAATTCCCACTGGCATTTTTTGGGATGATAGTGGGTGCTGGAAATGGAGGGTTCTGAAAACATTTTCATAGTTCAGACGATATCCTAATAATGTTATTTATTTTCTGAAAGCTTCTCCACGCAGTCATAACTGAGTGGACTGCTGTCCTCCCTGAGCTGGTATCTAGTGATCTCTCTGTTGAAATTACAAGAGCTGTTTATGTGCAAAAGTGTTAACTGGAGGGGGCTTTATTTTCTCTGTTAATGGAAATTGTTAGCAGGAAAAAAAGATAGTCAATGTGTGTCTAACTGTGTCTTCCTATAGACAGCAAATAAGCATTGGTTTGGGAAACCAGGATACAGTAACTTGTATAATGTTTATAATTACTCTTATAATTACTTTTGCTCTTCAAGGTGTTTTTGTGTGAGACCCGTAACATTTAAGGAGGTTTTCAAACTGGTCCAGAAGTAAAAATGAGCTAATTGAAAATTGATACATTTTGAACCAGTGAAAGAAAAGTGTCATTTCCTGTTACAATAAGTAATTACAGTATCAATATCTCCCAGCCTTAGTCAGCAGTGTTTGCATCTGTTTCATAGCAGATATTTTTGTCTAGCCTGCAGATGGTGCAAGTGTGTTATCTTCTGAGTAGTTTGAACACTGTCATTTTTAATAAGCCTTGTATAAAGGGAATGAGCTACACCTGACCCTGTGGAATATAGAAAATGTATGTTGGGAGATGGAGAGTGAAGCCAAAATGAAAAAATTACTGGCTAATTTATTGTGGCATTGGTTCAACCTTCTATTATACATCTTTGGTTCACATAATGTGTGTCCCATAAACTGACTGTGCTTCCATAAACTGAGAATGAAATTTAAGAAATACCGTATTTCATAGTTTCATAGTTTCAGGGTCGGAAGGGACCTAATAGATCTTCTAGCCCGACCCCCCGCCAGGGCGGGAGAACAACCCAAAAAAAAAACAAAAAAAACCCACTCACCCTAAAAACAAAAACGGGACTCAAATGAGTCCAGCCAGGTAAGTATCCAGCCTCTTCTTAAAGATCCCCAGGGTAGGGGCCAGCACCACCTCCCTTGGAAGTTGGTTCCAGCTCCTAGCCGCCCTAACTGTGAAGTAGTTTTTTCGGATGTCCAATCTGTACCTCCTCTCCATCAACTTGTGCCCATTATTCCTTGTTATGCCAGCAGGGGCTAGGGGAAACAGCGTCTCCCCCAAACCCTTCTGGTTCCCCCTAGTGAGTTTATAGACGGTCACCAGGTCCCCCCTCAGCCTTCTCTTGTGGAGGCTGAATAGGTTCAAGTCCCGCAGTCTCTCACTGTAGGGTCTGCCCTGTTGTCCCCGGATCATGCGGGTGGCCCTCCTCTGGACCCTCTCCATGTTGTCCACATCCCTCCTGAAATGGGGCGCACAGAACTGGGCACAATACTCCAGCTGCGGCCTGACCAGCGTCGCATAGAGGGGGAGGATCACCTCCCTGGCTCTACTCGAGATGCACCTGTGGATGCACGACAAGGTCCGGTTAGCCCTGCCAACCATGACCTCGCATTGTCGGCCCATGTTCATCTTGGAGTCAATAATGACACCAAGATCCCTTTCCGCCTCCGTGCTCTCAAGTAGGGAGTTCCCCATCGTATAAGTGTGCTGCTGGTTCCTACTACCCAAGTGCAGCACCCTGCACTTGTCCGTATTGAAACGCAT